CTAATAATTCAACAAAAATGATAGTTTTTATGAACCAGTTGAGTTTGGTGTAATTCAATTTCTTATCGTATTACCTATATTTATATTAAAATATAGTTTGTATGTAAATTTGTAAATACTAAATATTTTAGCTTCTGAATAAATAAGTAATAACCATTGACATTACCTACTTGTAAGTAAATCGTTCAGCTGATTATGTAGAATGACTGGAATATAATGTATTAAAATATTTTAAGTTTCAACTATATAAATATATAACTTAAATATTCTTGAATTATTTTTATGGACTTGAAATTGGCCAATTTTCAAAATAATCTCAAGAAATTATTATATAAAACGACGAAACCTGATATGATTCGAATGTTATTTTTTAACAGTTTACTAATTTTACATATCATGATTTACAATAAAGTATTATAAAATGTTATTTTTATCAAACTAATAGATGGTAAAATAATTTCGATAAAGTTCGATATTTTAACGTTTAACATAGTATATAATTTCATTTTTCATTTTTATATTTTGTGTGTTTGTAGTTTTGTACTATAATTTAGAACAATGGAATTGTTTTAAAAATGATAAATATTATCGTCTATACAATTATGTTTTTGCTATATTTTAGTTTTAAAACAACAACTCTGCCATATAAATAATAAATTGACAAATTGTATTATTGTTATTGTTATTAATTGTGCAAGATGGTTCAAACTTTAATACTCATTGGCCATTGCACTCGAACAATCTTCAATTCCATATTTTTTGTATTTATGTGTGAATCAATTTAATTTTTTTACGAAATCAGATTTATTTATTATTATGTTTTTGTGAATATTAGGTATATCAGTATTCAATGTGCGATTGCGAATGATGGTACCATATTTTATGTATCTTATTTTGTAGGCTATATTTTGTAATTAACACTTTTCAGTTTCAATTATGTGTTTTTATGGACAGAGGGAAGATAATGCATAAAAATATTTGGCAAGGGCCTAACCTACCACATTATGTTAGACTTATCCTGATTACTATATTGTAGTACCTGCGTCCTACATACAATTTATGTTTTTTTTAATACAATTAAGAATATTGGGTGATATTTAAGTGTATGTAGAGAATAGTATATTACTTATAATATAAAGATGTTGCATAATACCTAAATATTTTGATAAATATATATTATTGTAATTATATAATGTCAATACATTATGATTATATAAGCAACTAAGCAAGTAATATCTTTAATTTGATATTATTTTATTAACCGATTAAAAAAAATATTGTAACTAATTGAGAATTCAATAATATAAAATATTTTATCTGAATTTGAATTTTTAAAACAAGATGGAATTATAAATACCTACATAATAGTAGTGCCAGTTGCGGACTGCCACTTATAAAGCATTACTCTGTAATTTTGTATGTGTTTTATTGATAAGGATTAAGTCTATATTAATATGTATTATCAAATAAAGAAATCAGCACAATGCACGTGGTAAAGAGTTGTGAAATATTGCATGTTATTATTGTAAATTACAGAATAAATATGAGATAATAATTAAAACACATTATAATTCTGCAGTATAATAACTTTTTTGCCTATTACCTAGTTAGCTACTTTTATCTTTTGATAAATTATAAAAACAACCACTTGAATAATTAATTAATTTCACTAAAATAAATAGTAATACGCATTATATTTATAATGTGATTAGGTTAAATATTATTATTTCTAGAAAATGAAAATCTGCATTAAATTGATTTAGAATTTTTGATGCTTTTTGGATTAATTTATACTGTCCATATTTGGTGTCACAATTTTTCAAATTCTCTCTTTCATACCTGTGTATGTATTATATATTTATATATGTATATTGTATATCATCAAGCAAATTATATTTTAATTACATATCTACTGTTCTTCTGCATTATGGGTAATTTGGAAAATTGAATTCAGTAAAAACACACATCATATTGTAAAATCAATACATTCATCGCTCCGGTCAGAATCGATAACTTGATAATCCAAAGTTAGTGAGAATTATGAAAAATGTTGAATTACGAAGAGTTTGAATTGCTGAGAGGTTAAAAACACTAAGAAGTCAAAAAATAATTTGAATTACTGAATTATGAAAAAAAAATTCGTTATTTCGATAATAATTTCATAGTTATCGGAAATAATAAACTAAATGAACAATAATATTATAAAAAATACATTTTGGTGAATGCACTTTCGAATTATTGTCCAACGTTGAACTTCAAAGTGCAAGGAGATGATGGCTAGTTTTCTCTAAAATTTTATTACGAATTATCGAGTGTACTTAAATACATTGTTTTTTTCTAATTACTGAAAGTATGGAGCTATCGGAGGTTCGGATTATCAAGAATCAACTGTATTTTGTCGTAATTAAAAAATGGATAAAAAAAAATACAGGAAAATAATCGAAATAAAAATATATAAATTTGAAACTTTTAGCCATTACTTAAGTCTTGAGGCTTATTTTGTACCCAGTGTTGTATTATAAACAATGAAAATTTAATAATATTTACACTGATTTTAGGCTATGATGCCGCCATACATTATCTAATATGTTAAAAAATATCTCCAAAAAAAGAAATTGACGAACCGCCTGCGTACACGATCTTTTTAGCACACAATGACTAATCGTTGAATTCAAATATATAACACATCCATATCAGTGACCTAGTCAATGATCAAAACCTGTGCTACAGAGCGACTTCCCCGATTTCGTTATTTGAAATATGAAGGCCAAGGATGAGACGTCTAGGCCAATTAGCGATTAAATTACCTGGGTGTGTTATTGGACGTAGGTCACACCCAACTCTACTATGTGTCTCTACTAAAAGTAAAAGAAAATAAAAGTAACACGAATAAAATAATAGATAATGGGTATGTTTTCCATATTCATTTTATACTAATTTTATTAATTGATCCATATTATATATAAAAAGTAATTTTTTTTCGTTAATAATCTCAATAACTACTGGACCATTTTCAATAAAAGTTATATATAATGTACAATAGGTTTTTTAAAATCTTTGACGTTTCCTCACCATTTACCTCCCCCTCGATCTAATGGACGCCCCTCTCCTAAACTTGGGCCCCTAAACGTACTAATATGCTTAAATTAATTTATAATTCAAATTCGAACGTCATAATAATACCTAGGAATACTTATAATAATACAAAGTGAAAATACATTTTGTTCACAATCTTTAATAAATATTAAAAAATGGGAAGTGGCTATCGATCTGCTGCATACTGTAGGTGTCTAGAGGGGTTGCTGTATCGGATGGATTACATTTGAATTGAATGATATAAAATCATTGTACACGAAAAACTATTCTGAGCTAAGAAGATCTGTCAGTCTATAATATTACTTCCTAAGTATAATATATATCTTTACGTCTGTAAGAATGTAAGATAATAATAAATATTTTAGAGTTCCTATTCGTTTTTCGATTTTAAAAATGTTACTTTATTATCTTGTTGAGTGTTACTGCTGGGTAGCTACTCCCCTCAATCATTCACTGCCAATAATATCTCAGCATATGCTTATTGTATAAATACTATAGATTGTATATATTCTAATAAATGTTTAAAAAAAAAGATAAAAAGTTACTTGATAAATAAAATAAAATATTTAATGGATGGTTTTTGCGACGTTTTGTTCTTAGGTAAGACACTTATTAATCAAGAGACCAATTTATGACATTTATTTACGTTATTCAACTACAATAGGTATATATAGTTAAAATCATATTATGTTGTTCCTTTGTTATGTAACTTTGTTATAATATTAACACGGGTTGAAATAGTGAATGACAACAGCCTGCAAGCGCCCGCCGCCCCATCCTGCTTTTAAGTTATTTATGCTATAAGTTATATTATCAATGTTGTCACCGTGAGCTGCAGTACCAGTCTCTAATGAGACATCACAGCATTCCGGCAGAGAGAAAATATTCACATACATTTTTTATATGAACAAGTAGCAACTGTATTTTTTATTCAAAAACTAACAATGCTGGCTTAGTGACAGTGAATTAGGGTAGGTAATCAAATTAGTGTCTTGAGACTTTCATTTATAATACGTATGTCGATATAATAGTTATGAATGGTACCTTTAATATGATATAGTACAATCAACAAGTAATTTAATTTCTTTTTTTGTAATACACAGAAAATAAGTAGAGACACTCAGACTCATGCTAACAGTGATAGGTTTTACAACTTTCAGCAGCTGTAGAAAATGTTATGTTTAATATAAACATATTATGAAAAAAAATGCATAAACAGGTTACAACAGGTTACAGGTACCTATATTGCATTGCAATTTACTACCATTGATTATAAATACTATTAGCATTTATAATCAATGTTACCACCCATCTATAAACTATACATCAAAACCGTAATAGGTTATAGTATAGGCACACGCGGACAGTGTATAATGTATATAGGTAATTGAATAGTGAAATTCATTATGTGGCATGTGCCTAGGTAATAATGAGTTTATAATAATATCATACAATTAATATTAATATTACATAACACAATAATTATTATTTATTTAGCTCGAAGTTTCGCCGTTGAAAAAATAATTATTTTAAGACAATATCATATTATTAGTAGATAAATTAAAAGCGAAATAAAATTAAACGACCCATTTACCTTTATGTATAGTGTATAATATAAATATAAATATTAGTTCGCGCGTAATGATTACATAGTAATAAAAATATAATAATAGTAGTAGGTATATAAATTATTGCAGATACGATAAAAATAAATTGCACGTTATAAAAATTGGCAAATCTCCGTAGGCCGACAGATGGAGTGCGCGGCCGTCGACCCGCCGCCGAAGCCGTCCGGCTCAGCTGACCGCCGCCGCAGCACAAGTCCCTCCGCCCCTGCTTTTCCAGATCGTGACCGCCCACCCGTCGCGTTGCGGCGGCGCCCCCGACGACGACGTGCATCGCCCGCGAATCCGTCAGTCAGTCGTGCCGTTCACACCCGGTCGAGTCGTACGCGAGTAATCGTACACCGACTCCGCTACCGCTGTCGTCGTATTTTTTTTTTGAATATCGGTTATAAAAATAATAATTAATAAATTATAAAATAATTTCAAACGAGGAAATGCATGAGAATTCCAACTGTTGATTTCGCGAGTTTTTCGTCCGTCGGGTGTGCGGTAATTTTTCCGAATTCGAAAATTTTTTTTCCACGCGTGTTTTCGAGTTAAGTTCCGGAAACACAGAATAAAAATACGAGGATTACCTATATTCCAATAATATTATACATACTTCGTCGTGTCGCGGGCGGTCGCGAAAGTGTCTGCCACAGTTTCCGCGCACAACCGTGCACAATATACAACTTAATACTATACGCATAATATTGAATAAATAGGAAAGGTACCTGTATATACCTCCAAGTCCGCCATCGAGCCGCCCACACCTCCGAGCCCGACATGCGGAGGTTTTTGTTGGCGGTAATCGTGTTGTCGGTGCACCGTCGGTGGGACGGATGCGCCTACCCGACGTCTGCGGAGTCAGACGGAGAATGCCGCGTGGCCGTACAGCGGTTCCGGTCAGTCGGCCTATACGACACTCCGACGTCGCGGATTGACCAAGGTAAGCGCCTCCGTTCATCCTCACCTCTACGTTTAACTTACGCATAGATAAATATTATGGTATATACCATGTTACTTACTGTGGTCATAATACTCGGACTATTTATATTATATTATCGTGGCAGCGGCGTGTCGAGCTTACGAGTGCACATACCCGCGAGCGAGTCGAAACGATTATTATTATTACTCGTATTATACAGTAGTACAGTACCTACCTATATACACAATACATGCCACTCCAGCTGCAGCAAGTCTTTCCCGTTGATAGTAGGAATGTATATATATAAGACATGCCTATATACTACATAAGGTAGTTCTATGATCGGAATGGCAGCCAACTGTCTAGTTCTAACCGCAGCTAGCGTACTGCTTTGCCGTATAGTCGCTCAGCTTAGTATTTAAAATTATAAGCACAAACGATTTAGCTTATATCTACGATATATTTATTCATCTATACAGATGAAAATTGTTGAAAAAAAATGAATAATTCATTAGAAATTCAGTTATAACATTACATTTAGTACCCTTCGCTATTCGTCCGAATAGTAGCTTACGAATTACGATAGATATCGTGGTACGTGGAGTCGTTGACTTCACCTCCCCCGCAACTGTTTATTTATAATATATATGTGCTGTTTCGCACTGCTGCAGTGATTCGTCCCGCGATCGGGTTTTGACAAACCTGTAATGTCAACTTGTCTTACTTGTCAGAATAGTTCAAATAGTTAGGTACTTGTAAGTGCATGCAAGTGCATTTCCTCTGACCGTTATAGATGTAGATATATGGCTGCAGAAATTATATAGGTATAATACACATCGTGCATGATACAGAAATCCTTATTGACATTTTGTAACTGTGGCTATTAAATTCAGATTCAACTCTAGCTCAACAATTCAACAGTTGATTTATTTTTGTCTGATATGGTAAAATATATTGTTACAGAATTATAAAACTTACGATCAGTTGATGAACATCATAAACTTTCTTATCATGACTAGATTTTATTATCTTATTACAGTAGTAGCCCCGAATGGTATGTTTAGTATTTTTATCTTAAACGTTTCACTTATGCAGACATGCAGTTATGTGTAATGTGATACAACCAAATCTGCAATCGTGGTTTTAATATAACTATAAACACTATTTACTATTCCCTAAAAAACCTTATAATATAACACTATTTTTATATTTTTATACGGAAACTAACATATTTAGAAATTAGAATACTCAGCAATTGCTAGTTTTATGAATGCCGTATGTTTGTAGGTTTGTGTACTTACAACACTTGATCTTTATTAATTTGGTAAACCTACAATAATTTGGATTATTGTTTGATAATTAGCTTACTACGACCATTTACACACCAATGAATGGTCCAACACTATTTGATTTAGACGGAAAAATCTTGATTGAAATAAAAAAATAATTTTACAGCGTTTAAATTATAATATTTTTCGTTTAAAAATAAACTCTTACAAATTGTTTAGTTCACAACGTTTATTTACGTAATAAGAGTATTATTTGAGTAAGTTCTCTAATTATTTATATTAATTAAATCTTTAATATTATTGCTTACATGAATTTTAAAATAAAAAATTATAAAAGAGATTAAAATATGGCCATAAATTATACTATACAATTACAACTACATTAGGTGTATTCAAATTGTAATATACTATACTAATCAGTTATCCCCCACAAATGCTATGTTTATTTAGTTGCAGTAGCGTAGCCAGTTTTGCTGTGGGGGTTGTAGCCTCCCCAGAAAATTCAGAAGCAATTAAAAATGCTTATAGTGTTTGTGAACGTATCACGCAGGACATAACCATCAATTAAAATTGTAACTTTTTGAAGGTTGCTACAAATCTAAAATTGTACATAAATAGCTTTAGTATACTACATTTATAAGAAATCCTAGTTAAACTCCACATACCAGCCCTCTCCCCTAAAAAAAATCTTGGCTATGCCACTACATAGTTTAATTTAAATTAAAAATGAATGTAATAGATAAATAATTGCTTTTCAATTTTAAAAACTGTTCTGGGATAGTAGAATAAGTGTTATAAACCACAATACTATATTGATTCGTCCGAAATAATGGTTACACAGTAATAGAGTTTAACCAACTATAAAATCTCGTCATTATTTCTTTTCATTCGGGTTCTCTTTTTACGACAAGAAGTTACTTTCTTTTTACTTTTTGAATTGAGTTTAGTTTATAAAAATGTGATAACAAAGACTACTTAGTCAAAAAAACATCAACAAAATAAAATAATAAATAGCGATGCTTTTCTTTTTTCGTTTTTAAGTTAACTAAAAAGTTAAGTTAAACTTTACCAATAACAATATTAATAACAATAGTGGTTTTAATTAAATTAAGTAATATCTTTATAGGATGGCTTTGATCATTTATGGGATTTTCTGCTTGAGTTAAATATTATTTTTCAGACAAAATGTCCATAATAATTTATAATATATGTACATTATGTTAACCTCGGGGGTGTATTCATCTCTGTAAAAAAAGGTACTGAACAGTGAATTCCTAATTGAACACGTCGCGTTGGATTTTTTTTTGTAAATTATACCACAATGACTTCATTATTCCATGGTAACAGGGACTGTGTAATCGTGATCACATGTTCTCCGTGTAAAATTATATTATTGCCGTACAGGTCAGCCGTCTCCCATTAATTCAACTAAAACACGGTAACCACAAGCGCCGGTGCGATTAACGTGCACGCATGATACGTGTAACTGAATCCAATATTACGGGTGTATATTGTAGAATGGAGGAAACTTGTGATTAACATATTGATTCTAATAAAAATGACAAATTAAGGAGTGATCAATTATAATTAACCATCTTGTATAAGTCGTTTTTTTGAGAGCATATACCTGGATAAAAAATAAATGACTATATAACACTGATATTGTTATACATACCCGTAGTACCTAGATTTAAAAAAATACGATTTGTGGTATAATATGTTAATTATAAACAATGTGGATGAATTACAACAATCATAATCAAAAATAAATTAATAACTGACATACATTTATTAATTATAATTATTTATCATGCTTCGTATATTATGACCTATCGTCAATCAGTGCACATTTATTGCGGTTGTTCCGTTCTGAATTAAGTATTTGAATAAATATTTCGATTGTATTGGTGTAATACGTGTTGCGTTTGGTATTTTGATTTGTTTTGAATTTGAGTTTTTGTCCAAGTTTCTAATTGATTTGAAAAAAAAATGTCTCTGTAATAAATTGCATTCAAATTTGTAGAAGGTACTAAAAAGGATGGTTCAAACATTACCCACAATATATACGTGGGTAGTATATTATGAGTTTGAAATTGAATGCCGTATAAACAGCAAAAGTTAGGCGACCAAAATATGCCCAAACAACTAAAACTCTATAAAATAACGAATATTATCACAGGGCATACGGGCTATTGGGATTTAGGTGGGGACATCGTTGTTTGGCCGAATTCCCATGGCTGATTGCCAACCGGACCAAGTGGGCGCGGACAATATTTTCATGCATTAGCCAAAATTAAAAAAAGTAATTCGGCCGGTCACTAAAAGTTACTTTATCACCAATATATGGTCACTAAAAGAATTTTACGTCTTAATAAAATCTCATTGCTAACAATGCACTCGAAATTATTTTAACTAATATTATACTTTTTTCAAATATAAATCCATTCCAAAATATTTTATGTTTGTTTCGTCAACGTTGGCTGCAAGACAACTATGAATTTAAATAATTATGTAATAAAAACAATTTACATAAAATAAGCGATTTAATTATGTAGTTCAACAGCCGTGACATCTTTAGTAAAATTTCCGTTTTCCGAGGACTGTAAGTACTTATTTATAGTATATAGGTACCAATCTACAGTTAACTATAACTAAGTATAATAATTGCTTGTAGGTACTAAAATATGTTGCGATTGAAACCATCAAGCTTTTTTTAACAATGAAAACTAAGCTATTGTATTTTAATATCATCGAAAAAACCGAATAATAATTATAACTCTCATTCAAATGATTAAAATTATAGGAAACAATTATCGAAATGATTATAGCCTATTGGTACTCAAAATTTAAATAAATATGAATTAAAAGTTGTAATCATACAATAGGTAGGTAATGTAAAAACAGTCATTAAATTCATAACATCCGCTCCAGAATTGCAGTCATATTATAATAGCCTGTTTGGGATTCCAGTGTTTGTCACGTCTGTATGTAAAACAATGTAGAATTAAAGTGGGTACGAGCCAAATAACTCTGCAATTGTCTTTACAGTTAATAATAGGAAGGCGGATTTATTGGTCTTAAAAATTCCTTATATGCATTTTGGTCGAAAAAAGAAGACGTTTCATTTAAAACTCATCCGGGAAGTCGGCCAAATGGATTTATCAATGTTGTAAATAGGACAACACGGTATGGTAAATGGTAATATTATTTAAAAGCTTTTCCACGTTATTTATGACGTTACGCTTTATTACTTGTGTGATGATTTGATGACGTTTAAATCTAAAATTACAGGGTCGTCAACAGTAGATACATTTCTCGTATATATATTATGGTTTTAAAAATAATAATATTATAAATCTGGTTGTAAATGTTTAATGGTCTTCTGTATGAAACACCCTTTGGTGTAGTCCTATTCGTACACATATTACATAGGATTATGACTGTATAATACTTCCGCAATGCGAGGACGGTTTGAGATATAATAATAATACACGGAATTACGTAGTTCGATCCGGTGTGGATTAAAATATCTTATTGAAACGATAAGTACGTTTACGTCCTATATAATAATAATAAAAATAATAATAATAATAATAATAGTAATAATATAATACTCGTTTATTCTCGAGCAACGCGAATCCACTATTTATATTTATTATATATTCTTTATACAATAGGTATTGTGTGACAACCGTGGAAATTGTTGCATAGCGCCAGACCTAACGACAGTGG